ATTTTGTTGTATGTACAATATGTTTCATTTCTACGTATTGTAGTCGACGCACGATTCAATTAAATTTTTTTAAACATCATTAAATTACACTATATTGTATGTTTGAATTTGTATTGCTTAACAATGTCTTTTATATATAATAAACATAATGAGGTATGATTAGATATTTTGCCACCGCAAATAATTTTCATTGAAAAAATATTATGCACTTACTGATTAGTAATACCTAATTGATTATACATTATTTGTAATTTAAAAAAGGTGCTCTGCTGTACTGTAGGTTATAAGTGGGTCACTGTATAATGGATGGTATTAAATTTGACTTCAATGATATAATATCATTGTATAAGAAAAACGATTTTGAGTGGAGACGGTATGTCAGTCTAGGTTAAGACATATTATATACATATTACATATATATCGTATTAAAATAAAATTGACCTATAATAAATTCCAAATTAATCATATCACAATATCCATTAGGTACTTATAAGCGTTATACATCAACAACAAACCGTGATACTATCATAGATATGTATTATGTATTTGAAATATTTTTCAACTGATATTGTAACAATATATCAGGAGCCTTGTATTAAATTTTTATACTTTTTGACCCAACAGATAAAACTTTATTGATATTTATAGAAAGAAAAACTAAAAAAATCGAAAACTGAAAATGTCCGTTAACAGCTCAAAAAGAGTCAAAATATTTTCAAAATTGTATAGTGTTTAGAAAATGCTAATATAAACATTCAGTGAAATTTTCATGTATCTACAGTTATTCGTTTTAGAATTACAACAAAATAAGGAAATCGCTATATGAGAAATCGACTGAATCTCCAATGTTGTAAAAATTTGAATTTCAAACACTCATAAAAATTTAATTTGACTTTCTTATAGACATTTTTTTTTTATAAAGGTAGAAAATCTTATAAGGAATCTTGTATTACATTTCCATATCTTTTATTAGCCATTGGTTAACAATTAATGTTATCATTAATATTATTCATTAACTAATAATACCAACAATAATTTGTTCGAGCCTATGCATACCTACCGTATTAAAGGAGAGTTATGCAAACTTATAAATATGATAACATCTGTTATATATATGTTGTAATATAACTTATGTTAGGTTATGTATAAAAAAAAACACTTAAAAATAACTGTTGTTATATATTATATATATATTTCTATACATAATTTATAGATTATTCATTCTGAAAATATATACAAACACAAATTAGAATTAGACAATAAAAAGAACACAAAAATTAGTACACAGGAACTTTTTATAGCTTACCACTAGCTTGCTGTCATCCTATAAACAATGTATTTAAACACATTTATAACTAACATGTATATTACAAATATATTACAATATTATACTCACTCCTACATTCATGGAGGCCATATCGTGGCCCATAGATGACAGAGCACTCGAGCTACGGTCATGGCCCGAGTGCTGGTGCGAAGCCCTGGCACCATTCCCCAACGACGGGGGGGGGGGGGGGCGAGTCCCGCAGCCGCTGTGAGGCTCCGTATCGCCGTCTGGAAGGAGACCGGTCTCGCCGAAGGAGGGGGACCGATCTCGACGCTGGGGAGAGGACCGATTTCGCCGGCGGGGGGGGGGCACCGGTCCCTCTGCACTTTTGGTCTCCTGCCTGCATAATAAATAATATTTTAGATGCATTGCCTACGATCACATATATAATATACACAAAATACACTTACAATGGCGGGCCAGGTGGCCAGGTTTTCTGCAATTGTAGCATTCTGAAAAAGAAAAGCGAACAACATTACCATGTTTATCCATAGACCTATAAACTAATGGACAACGCTTAGAGAGAGAGGTAAGAGGTCCAATATACAGTATTAGTTTCGTAAGTCTATGATTTCCCACATTATGTTTTTTTCTCTCTTTCTCTTATATGATTCCATCAAGATTCCCCCACTATGTTCCTTCTTACTCACTCTATATTGGCGTAACTCAGTGATGGTGGTGAGGGAGGCGCAATCCATTAGTTTATAGGTCTATATGTAAGAAAAAAAGTCCCCGGTAAAAAAGTCTCACGGAAAAAAAAAGTCTCCAAATTACTATTTGATTTAAATTCTGTCTTTTATCATATAGGTATTTATTAAGTACATAGCCCATAGGTAAAACATGTTACATATTTGTATTGAAAATTATTAACAATCAACTAAATTAAATAGATACCTTTCTAGGATTAAAAATTATTGTAGATAAGTATTTATATACATAATTAAATACATTTTAAATTTACTGAAAATAATATAATATCTTAAACATATAATAATATATAAGATTTGTCAATCCAATTTATTTAGAAACATAGATATACCAGTATATAACAGTATAGAGGAAATATCGTTTTATTTATTCTACAATGAGAGACTTTGTTTCCGTGGGACTTTCTTACCGGGGACTTTTTTCCCGTTTACCGTATATACCTACGTCATGACAATTGACAATATTTATACATACTTTTAGGTGCTACAATTGCAGAAGATGGTGGTTGATTGGTGACGGGGCTTGCAGCCTGCACCGTCACCTTACAATTTGTAAACTGAAACATTCTACAACGAAAAATTAACATTAGTAAAGTTGTCAAAAAAAACAAAAAAAAAAAAAGTGAAAAATATAATAAAGTAACGAGTACTCACTTCCACTGGTCGATGGCAAATAAATATAGAATTGATTCCACTGTTTAGTTTTGCCTTGCATTTTAGTAATGGTATTTACCGATGTTATTACCAGCACCGCGGGTCTGTCAAAATCGTTGAGCATTGACAAAAAGCTTATTAAAATTAAATAGGTAACATTTAGTAATACTGCTGTCACGTGGTGGCAGAGTAAAGAGCGAAAAGCTCAGTGGACCTGGGCGGCTCTCCGCTCCGACTTCGAAGTTCGGGCGACTTTCTTCCACGAGCGTCTGTGCGAAACGTTCGTTTTTACGAATTGCGTATACTACTTGTATAATTTACACTCTTTTTTTTTTTTATCCTACCTTTTTTTTTTTACTACGTTTGGCGTTTTATAGACTAATGAGTACTATTTTTTTTATTATTTAAAGCTTAATTGTTCACCCCGTGTACTTATACATCATTACAGTTTATTTACTGCAATTCACACTTTATATTGGCATAATTGCAATTTAGCTCCCCCTCGCCATTTTGAATTTTTTTTTATCGAAACTTATGTAACTCATCGAGTTAAGAACGATGATGCAATCAAAATTTGTCGCTCTCACTTAATTTCGAAGTTATAGCCTCCCAAAGCTAACGATTTTACGTTTAGACGCATGCGCGCAACACTACTAATGCCGCACGAGGACCTCGAGTTTGGCGACCGGAGGACTTTTTTAGTTGTTTTTATACTTAAACTGTGTAACACTGTATTACGACATAACTTACCCTGTAACCTACTTAAGGTGGTGTTGCATAGCAAGTCGGGAGATATTTTCGATTTGCGGAGCGGAGCGACGGCTCCGAAGAGCGCAGCGACGAGTGCCACAAACTGTATAATACTGCCCATATACGGCATATACTACGACATAACTTTTTACTTTCCCTGTAACCTACTTAAGGTGATGTTGCATAGTAAGTCGGGGGATATTTTCGATTTGCGGAGCGCAGCGATGGCGCCGAGTACCGCAGCGACGAGTGCCGCAAACTGTGTAATCACTATAGAAATTCGCTAGACTAAACCGGTGTGAAAAAAAATGCACCGGGATGTTTGGACCATATCATTTACATGGTTCATTATCCCGGTGCGGGATAATATGGGATAATTTTAAACCGGTTTAGTCTAGCGAATTTCTATACTGTTGAGGTCCTCCGCGCGGTAATATAGTAGGTAGTGTTGCGCGCATGCATATAAATGAAAATTAAAAACTTTGGAAGGCCATAACTTTGAAACAAAGTGAGAGCGACAAATTCTGATTGCACCATCGTTCTTAACTCGATAAGTTACATAAGTTTCGATAAAAAAAAAATTCAAAATAGCGCGGGGGAGCTAAACTGCAATTGTTCCCGGGTTATGTATCCAATCCGCCATACACAAATGCCCTATAACTCATAGATTTCCATACAGCGACGATTGATAGCTAGACATTCCATTACAATTATTCGCAATTCCTAATTTCTTATAAAGTCAACAAAACAGAACAGGACATACAACGGGGCACGGTATTACACCAACCGCAGGTGGATTGCATACCTGGTAATATACGCTTTACATATTGTCCGCGATCCGAGTCGGATTGCCTACCTATGTGATTTGATGACTGATAGCTAGACAATCAAATACACATATCGATACTACAATTTTTAATAATTTCAACAACCAAAAGCAGCTGACTAGAGATCCTGGAGATCGTATCTATTTACAATGTTTGTGACGGATTGCTAGACGATCAAACTTTTAAATATTCCTGCCAATGCGCCAAGCCTTATCTCCAATCCATATCACTAATCCTAAACTTTTGACTTACAACCCTTGTGATTTTTATAATTCCAACGACGTTGTCTCCGAAATCGGTACTCACTTACAAACAAACACTGGGGGGTCCGGGGTCTCCCCCTGCTGGACCGGAGGGCTAGTAAAAGTTATAAAATACATTAGTATATTTAGTACGTTGCCCACGGTTATCAACGTTAGACGCGTGTACAACTTCATAAATAAGGATTCTGTTGTTTTTTTAAGTAAGTACAATTTGAAATTTATTTAGTTAATTAATTTAATTTGTAACGACCATTTTAATAACAAAATGGACAAATTTCTTAAACGGAAACATGATTCTGGTACTGATACTGCAAGTACAAATACAAGCAATGTCAATGATGAGAATAAAATAAAATAGGTCAATAGACAATATTGCAACGATTATTTAAATTTTGGGTTCACTTATGTTGACGAAAATGATTGTCAAATTCCCCTTTGTGTGGTTTGTGGGGAAAAGTTGTCTAATAGCGCAATGGCGCCAGCGAAATTAAAACGGCATTTTTCATCTAAGCACGCCAATCTCCAGTCTAAAGAAAAAAATTATTTTGAAAGGTTGTTGAATAATCAAATGAATCAAAGAAAACATTTAAAAAAAATTGTAACAATATCTGATAAAGCACAAATCGCATCTTATAAAGTTGCCGAAATAATTGCAAAACAGTTAAAACCACACACCATAGCAGAGAGTTTGATTTTACCGGCATGTTCAGAAATAGTTCAAATTATGTTTGGCGATGATGCAAAAAAAGAAATTATGAAAATTCCGCATTCAGACGATACAATAAAAAACAGAATTATACACATGTCAGATGATATTGAGAAAACTGTCACTAACAAGCTTACTACTAATAAACTATATTTCGCTTTGCAAATTGACGAGTCTACTGATATCAGTGGTATAGCTCACGTACTAGGATTTGTTCGTTTCATTGATGAAAATAAAATAGTGAATCAATTTTTATGCTGCAAAGTCCAAATGCATGGGGATCATTATTAATACATCTTATAATTTCTAAATTAGATCGTGATACCGTGCGTCAATGGGAAATTGAGTCCCCGTGCTCCGAAGTGGCAACAATTAAAACTGTATTAGATTTTTTACAAACTCGTTTTAGAATGTTGGAGGTCATCGAGTAGTTTAAAATATGCAAGCGAACTTGAAAGGTCTAGCGAAGTTAAAGGAACGGGTGGTTCGAAAAAGGGCTCCATAAAGTCAACGTAATTTGCAGCTGTGGTACAATTTCAATGTTACTACTGTAAGCAAAACCATACTATATATAGATGTCAGACGTTTATAAAGTTTCCCGTACCTGAGCGAATAAAATACATTAGTCATTTGAAGCATTGCAAAACTTGTCTTCACACCCATATAGGTGAAAAGTGTAAGGGTAGACGTTGTGCTAAGTGCGGACAAGCTCATAATTCGTTATTACATTAGTATCGGAGCGTCATCGTCACTTGAACTTGATAAGCCTTTTCTTTTCTTAGAATTCTTATTTGCAGTACTTTTTTGTGTCTTCTTTTTTACTTTTATCATTGCATGTTTTTTGTACACTTTTTTTTTTGCTTCTAGCTTGTCCTTTTCTGGAGTATCAGTCAAAATTGCCGTACACCTTTTTCTCGGATGTGGTCTTCTTTGTTTTCTAGCACCAGCTTTAGGCAGTGGTCTTATGTCTTCAGGAGATTTTGGTATTATTATTCGATTTTGAGATTTTGAAGTAGAAGTTTCTGTTTGTATTGACACTACAATATTTTAAACTTGTTGAATAACAGGGCTATTAGTTTCTGACTCTTGAATATTATAAGCCTGATTGGATGTAGAAGGCATTAGATCTTTGTTTAGTTCTTGAGTATTCTGGTTTACAGGGCTAAACTAGTGGCTTCAGGTACATGAATTGACAGGTCATGGCGACGTTTTTTAAAAGTAGTGGACCAATCTTCTCCAGCAACTTCATTTTCAGACCAAGTTTTGGGTATATTGGTTTTGTAATATTCTGGAAGCTCTGATAACTACTAGTTTATTAACGTTTGCAGGTAGCTAGACCGTTTACTATGATGAGGTATTAGTTGAATAATTGTAACACAATTGCAAGATTATACTGTTGTTTATTAGAGTTCCAATAATCACAATAGTCCAAATGACAATCGTTACACAGAGTCGCATGAAGGTGCTTGCAGTAGCGATGAGTGGTGGTCTGAATACAGGCCGTTTCGGGGTCCCTCTTATAGTCCGGTCCCCGCTCCCCTTGCCTATAGTCGGGGACACGAAAAATGATCGCTGCCCGTCACGCGCCAAGCAGCTGTTTTTCTAAAGTGGTTATCAAATTGTTCGTGCCCGTGAGTCACAGACTTCTATACTACACTAGATAAGGAACTCTTATACAATTTACATTGTTACAGGTGAAGCTCAGCTTTGAACGGCCGCCATTTTTCGGTTGGCAAAACATTTCATTTATTATACAAAATGTAGGTATTAGGAATAATATTTTTTTTAACGGTCATATAAAATAGTAAATGTAAAATGACTTATATAAAACTAGCTGATCCCGTGCACTTCGTTGCCCCGTTAAATGTATCAATTCTATATGTCTCAAAGTTTGTTCAATTCGTTATTTAATATTCGGTGTATGCGGTGTTCAAAATTAATCTTAACTTTTCCGTTGCCCCGAATAAAAATTCTGATTCGCAACAGTAATCTACCTGCGATAGATCGCGTACCCTGTGCTGTTTGTACGTAAGTGTATGATTTAACTCTAAAGTATCAAAGTTATACCAAGTTTATCGTTTTTACTTCATTTCGCCTAAGGTGGATTATTATAATCATTTTATACAAAATCCTATCCTAACCTAACCGTACTAAAACCCGATGAAAAAAAAAACAAATTTAACCCTTAGTAAATTAACCTATCTTCTTCCCAGACGTCTAATCTACCCACAAACATATAATTTATATATATATATATATATATAACTATATAAATACACGGACTATAACTATACAGACTCTGGAACTACTTATTGGATCTTTTTGTATTTATTACTACAGTTTTATTTAAATAGCTGGCATAATCAAACGACAATCTTCTCAATTCTTTTGGGGATAAGCCAAAATAAATATCTGCAGCTTTTTTAATATAATTTGATAATTTTTCTTCTTTGACAACTGAAAAAACTTGTCTTGGTTTTGTGTATCCAATAGGATTATTAAAAATCTCAGAGTTATTAATATATTTTTTAAAGAGTAACGAGATAAAGTTTTAACAGGTATATTAAAATCATCTGACACAATTTTATGAGAACACTTTTCATTCAAAATTTTTTTAACTGCACGTTAAATAACATCATTTGATATATCCTCTATCTGTCTTGCGTTCGTAATTTCGAACCATCTATATGAACAAATCCAAATTTTTAGTTATATTATTTAAAACAGTTTATACAATACAACATTCTCCAGTTATAGAAGGCTAACTAGCCCCAAATTTTTTTTATACATTTGAAGCAATTATGAACATCATGGATAATATTATGATTAAACAATACCTGAATCGTGTTCTGCATACCTTTTATAGTTGTTTTACTCTCATTCAAATGTTTTAAAAAATACAATTGAACTACATAAAAACAAAATTTCGAAAACGTTGAAAAAAAAAACGACGGTTGATAACAATATTTTATTGATTACACGATTAAGGAATAATGATATAATCACTACGATTCGTAGAGATGCGGGCACATCTTCCAAATTCATAATCTGTGATAGTGGAATTAACCTCAAAATTCTTTTTTATCGGGATGTATACGATCAATTGATACCATTTAGTCTGATTGATACTATCAATATGTATACATTTTAGTTGATATTCGAAAAAAAAGACCTGAAATAAAATACCCCAAAAATATTATGACTAAATAGAATAAAATCTATTTAGCCATGAATTTTAATTAGACATATTTAATTAGAATATGTATGTACATATTAATATAATAAACCATTAATTCCTATATAGTACCAAATATATACCAAATATTTTGTATGCTTACAACTTCCAGTTCCATTTAGAAGATTGAAAAGGCCTTTTTGGAGTAGGTATGTCTAATTTCTATACAAATATTTATTACGTTTTTGCATCATAAACATTTCTTTAATTGAAATGTATTATTACGATCTTACAGGGCAATTCAGGTGGTCCAATTCATATTAAACACAATTATTATATTTATAATATTATGTTTATATGTTATGTAATAATGACATAAATATAATGTTTATTGTTTAATATCATTGATTTTAAATACTAGTATTTACTTTTTCAATCTATTCAATGTTAATAATGTATAAAAGCCGCGTTGGTTCAACTGAACCATTTCATTTATTATTTTTTTATGTTGGCAACAATGTTCTTCCAACATGTTATAAATAATATTACATTTTGGAAGAAGTGTTCTACGGCCACGATTCGTACAGTTATAAGCAACGATCGTCATAATACAATGCTGTGGATGCAGTGTGTCCAACTTAAAAGCTCGATTTTAAAAATCGACTTGGCCAACTTACCCCGGATACCCAACTAGCCCCGGTCTCCCCTACTATTGTGGATGAATAGATTAAAAAAAAATGAATCTTTGAATATAAAAACAAATACAATTATAATTTTTTTTTTAAAAATCTTACTTTTATGAAAAAAAAATATAAGGCAGAAGATACACAAAATGTTATTTTAAAGAAATTATGTTCTTATACTTTTTTTGATACAGTTATTATTACTTGTGGTTTGCTTGAAAATCCTAGTAAACTATGAGGTTCTCTATAAAATAGGGGTACGCAACTTCAACCCTTTTTTGTCACGGAATATTATTATTATATTGTCCAATTCTCCTCAAACTTTTTATACATAGTTTTTATTAGTATTATAAGACCAATCTAGATTGTATAATTAATAAATTTTCCCTAAGGGACATAAGCATTGATGTGAAAAAAATCATTGACAGATTTGAGGCTGGTAAAAAAAGAAGCATACAATATTTGCTCAGATAAATTATTAATACATTTGTTTATTTAATATTGAATAAAAGACTGTTAAATTTTTACAGTTTAATTTTTTTATATATATAACAGATGTTTATTGGCTAATATGTATATATTGAAATTCAATGATACCAATTCAACACCTCCTAAAATGGGCTGCAGATCCTCTACTGGGCCATCAGTGGGCGCCTTCACCATCGTGTTTGACAAGTTTCTGATGAGGAAATTCGGCGTAAACAGTACAACCGCAGACTCAGTGCTTCACGTGAAACCGTGCGCGATGACTTTTTCGCTTAGTGGCGAGCAGCTGAAGCGATTAAGACATCATTCGGACGAATCAGGGTAACTTTTGGACGAACTTTTTTTATCGGTGACGGGCGGCGGATTTCGGACAATATAGTCGCGATTTCTCGGGCGCGGCTGGACCGATTTCGACGCGCGATGTCTTAGCGTGACGGCGGGGTCGAGACGAAGCGATAGGCGCGGTTTTTCCGTCGTAAACAAAAAACTGCTCGGGAGCGGTATACGGGTGCGTGTGATCGGTTTGGTGGTCAGCACCGGATTAACCTAACCTAACCTAACCTTTTTATTTTTTTTTTACATGGTATCGAGGCATGGGGTGGTACTAACCTTGCGGTCATTTCACCCCCATGCCCCATCATTTATTTTGTTAAACAAAATTACAATATGTTAATAAAATTAATTTTCACAATAAGAATTGGGAGCCTCTAACCACCCTGAAAAAGTTTAGCCGTTTGGCTCACAATATAGAAGACTTAACTAAGCATTTATTTTCTTCTTCGCATCTTTGAGCTCTTGACACGCCTGGCTGCCTGGGTAGTGATCCGATTCGTGCCCGGATTCTTCACATAGGACGCATCTTGGTGGAGCTTTGCAGTCTTTCGCCTTGTGATTTTCTTCTCCACAGGTCATGCACTGTTTTGTCCGGTTAGGTCCTCTGCACGACC